AAACCAGTGAGACACAATTTACCCCTGTACTTCACATAAGATTATTTAAAATGGCAAGTTTGCATGCACAGAAATGCACCTGAGGGTGTTTCATTAGGGCTAAAGCGAATGCTTTATGTAAATCACTACACAAAACGGCGTTAAACGCTCTAAGAAAAGTCCCTGGCATAGTCTGGTTGAGACTGACTGCAGAAGGAGGAAGTGTTATGCTTGAGATCTGACTGAAACCAACCTCCTCCCCTGCTCCTTCCCTTTCCCCTTTCCCTTTAAGTACCACAACTATTCAGAAAAGAGAATAAAGAAAACCTGAATAGAGGAAGAGAAGAAATAGAGGTCCCAAAGAGCTAAAGAAAAGCGAGAGAGAAAAAAAACAATGAAAAGAGAAACAGGAATAAAAAGCAGCCAGAGAAAGAAAGAGAAGAAAGAGGGACAGCGAGAGGGAGGAGGAGACAGAGAAAAAAGAAGCAGAGCAAAGGCTATAGCGCTGAGTGAGAGAGAGAGAGAGAGAGAGAAAGAGAGAGAGAGAAACTGTCTTTTTTCTTTTTTTTATATAAATATGGATTTAATGGCATAAAATTAATAGCACCAGAAAATCTTAACCAGCCTACATACTGACGAAGGCAGAAATGAACCATTTATCTGGTTTAAATGCATTGAGCTGTAAAGTCCATCTCGACTACACATCTATCACAAGATTTCATCATACTCTTGACAGATAAATCTGTGGTAAGTTGCATAGAGAAGGGTTCTAATTCTAAGACCAAAGTCTTCACTTCACACCACATCCTCTGCTTGTATGATTCATTTAGTAAGATGGGGGACATCTCTGTCCCCCATCTTAAAAATACTTTTTAAATTGTAACATTTTCAGATTATATTATTTAAGATGGATGATGATGCATCGGCAAACGTGTTATTATGTAAATTAAACATTTGCTAATTACTCCACAACTCTAATATACTCAAATCCCTCATGTAACAGAGACAGGGGTGTGTCAACTGTCATCAAGAAAGCCCAAAGATGTTTCAAGCAGTAGCAACACAACTGCTCTGAATGTCATGGCCGATGGAGGCGTAAAAAATTAAGTAACGTGAAGATCAGTTCAGTTACGGTGGAAATCCCCCCAAAACAAAAATAAAACAAAAAACAAAAATAAACTGTTCCAAGTTATCCGTTCACAAACTTTCGGCAGTGTTCTCAAGTTTTATCAAAAGCTTGGAGTGAGATCACATGCCGTTAGGGGAGGAGCCCCGCCCTTGCCCTTCCCCGCCCCCTAATTTTACCCATTGTTCATAATTAACCCACACAAATTGAAACTATAACAATTGGTATATCTGATAAATGACAGAGCAATTCATCACATCAAATATTCTACTCTTTAATGTTATATTTCAAAATTACAAATTTGTTATAAGTAATTTCACAAAATAAGAGTCTTACCTCATTGACAAAAAAGACACAAAAACAAATAAGACAAAAAAAAAACTATAGATCACTATTTTCTATAGACGCAACACTAGATCAATTAATAGATTCATAAACTGTCTGGTGTTTTTGGGCCTGAAAACATAACTTTTAAAAGTGCAAGTTTTTGAAAATGATATTGATATCATCTCTGTTTAAACTATAAAAATGCGAATTTGTGAAAACGCTGACGTCATGCACATTCAGTCTATGAGCATAGTACCATAGTGTTTCTTTACAATGTGACCAACAATCGCCAACTACTGGCCTTCTTTACAATCGCCAACTACTGGCCTGACATACATAATACACGTATTACACATACATAATACACGTAATACACGATCTACGTAAACGGCAACCGTTTTCATAATGTTGTCGTCTGTACGTAAAAAACATAAAGGAAAAACTTTAATCTCGGACTAAATCTGTAAATGTGTACTCATTCTTCTAGGGCTGTCAATCTTCCTCTACAATACTATTCGAATTCCATTCCTTAGCTTTTTTATTTAATATTCGAATATTAAATGCTAAAACTTTATCCTATTATTAATATTTACGACGTCACACATGCTTATGGATCGCCAATGCCAGCATAGCATGTGGTTGTTGTTACACGTTTGGTCCACTAGGGACATTTACTACACATTTTATTCGAGCTGAATACGGTTGAAGCGCTTCCGATGGTTTTCGGCTGATATCTCCGCGTAAACAACACCAAAAATACTGAAACTTATATCGTTATTTTCAGTTCGACTAGACGGTTCCAACAAGCTCGATACGCACCGAATCCGTTGAGATATTTGCGTTTTTTGCTTCACATGCGCTTTGGGGGGCGCTTTTTACGTCGTTAAACATTTAGGCTACCATTTTTGACAGTTGTTATGATGATACACCGTGGATAACGTGCACACTTGTGTTACGATTCAAAAACTTTCTAGTTCATCAGACGAAACAAAGGCATTGCATTTTCACATGCGTGTAAGCCAAGGCAGCGAAAAGGCAAGATTGCATATAAAATCAAATTTAAAAATATACATAAATTCAAACAGTAACTTCAGCATTCGAATAGTATTGATTTTTTTAATATTAGAATTATATTCAAATTTCGGTATTCGTTCCAACAGGTCTTTTACTCATGACGTTCCAAACCTGTATGACTTTCTTGTGTTTTGCAGAACACACATTTTTCCTGTTTCCAGTTTTGGTTACCATTGACAAAAAAACAACAAAAAAACAACAACACATTTCTCATATTATCTTCTTTAATATTCCACAGAAGGAAGTCATTCAGGTTTGAGACGACATATGGGTCAACAAATTTTGACAGATTTCCCTTTAGGTGGGATAACATAACATTTCTACAAATGAAAATACAATAATCCAGAATTATATTATAGAATATATAAATATGCAGTTCCATTAACAAGCCATTGAATAGTAAGGTAACATTTATCCAAGCTAGCTGGGGAAAACTTGTCAGCCATATAGTTCTTCTCCTCCCGCCATGCAGCAGACACATATCACGATAAACAAATTGATACTGAGTATCGAAAATGCGATCTGTAATTGAAAACAATGACCTTCCATATACACTCGGGCTATACTGCATGCGACTACCAATAATGATAGATGTTGGGAGATAGACAATGAAGGAGAATTGTACAGTGTGTGCACTGTGCAGAGCACTACCTGTTTAATACAAGCAAGGCATGGCTGTTATCTCCCATACGATCTCACATAACATAACCTAATAAATTATGGACTACACAAGATCTCATTGTGTTATGTGTGCGCTGCGGTGCAGGTGATTCTGATATGTGAAGGTGGGCTCTAAGGAACCACCCAGAACACTCCAGCAACCCAGAAACTCCCAATGCAACTGTGTAGCAACGTGTAAAACCACTGAGAACATGTTAGCTGCACATAACAATGCCCTGTCCACCACACACAACACCTTAGCCTTTTGGCAGCGAGTTTTGCATGTGCAAAACAACTAACAAGGAAGATTTATTTTGATTTTTCAACCAATCACAACTGAAATGATTCTCTTCTCCACCATGTTGAAAGGTTGTGAGTCAGCCGAACCTGGTAACTCGAGTCTTACTCAAGTTTTATTGCTGCCTATAAGTGAATGTGGGAAGCTAAGTCAGAAAATTGACAATTCTTGTGGACTATTTTTCTATGGATATTGCAATGGATTATCTTTGCACATCAATATTTGCAAAAAAAAAAAAGTGCCCTCATAATCTTTGATGAAAATAACTTGCCCTTCCTCTTGCAATGACATCTCTTGTCTTCTCAAATTATGTTTTTACTGGCGAGAGGGTGGGAAAACCTGTCACTCACATGAGATAGCACAATAGCAAACCACAATGATCAAATACGTGATCAATACGCCACAATAGGGAAGAAAAGACGATTGCAACTTTTATTTCATGTGGACTTTGACTTCACAACAGACTTTCTATCCACTCACTGATCTAAGCTATAATATATTATGGATTAGTAGCTATGTTTCTATCCAAAGTTGTGAACTAAAATTGAATATCGCATAAAACATTCGCGCAAAAAAACAAGTGTTTCCATCCCATGTGTTCAAACATGAACATAATCATCACTTCCTGGGAAACTGGGACAAAATATCTGTAATAAAAAAATGAAGTTGCTGTGCGTGGCTCTTTTATCCTACATCATTATTAACTTGCGGAGAGCACAGACGAAACGCAATGAACACTGTCATGTTATCTTGCGTTCGGATGCTGATGTTTAGAAACGTAATCATGTGAGACGCTTCTCTGGGACGGAATTAAACCAAAGCATTTTTATGACAGACTTTAGGTCAGGTAAAGCCAAAGTCTAAACAACATTTGAGATGTGCTGTGAAACTGATTCGCTAGTTTGTCAAGTTATCCAATCACATTCACTGTTGCGCCAAAGTCATGTGAGATTTTTGTTGTACATCAAGGTATTTATTTTGTTAATGTGTTTCCATCGTAGTTTATGCACAGGTCTTTTGGGTAAAAAAAAATATAGGTCTCAATTAAATTTTTATGCACATTTTTAGAATTTTCGTCTCGATTAAAAGGGCTCATTAATAATAAAACGGTGATGTGTACAGATAAATCTTTTATAAGATATACTGCAATATTCCATAAGAAAATAATGAATTGTCCATTTTGATTATATGACTTTAAACTCAAAACAGTCAGCAAGCCAAAACAACTAAACAATGAAATTATTTTTTAAAGCTGAGTGGGCATCTAGCAACATTATTTACCAATGCATGACATCTAAATAACTTATATCCCAAAAGCAAAAAAAGCATGCATTGTTATGTAACAATGAAATTAAAATAATAATTTCTTGCCATCATCCGCAGGTTTCTTTCCGCCATCTTAAGTGTGGACACGCCCCTTCCGTACCACAGGCCACAGGTTGCCGCCATTAATAAACATGACGCCAGTTTGTTTTTGTTTTTGATTCAGCATTCAGGCCTTATTCACTTGAAGGCACGAAAAGGCAGCAAAAGTGACCACGGCTCAGGAAGTCAGTATTTATCGGCTGTCACTTCATTAACCTCATACGAGAGATAATGATATGTTGTAAGAACGTCAAGGTAGCGTTCAAGTTTGATTTGAGGTGAGTCAAACAAACTCAGTCGAATGATTGGCGATCACTGCCCTCTATAGGACAGACTCAGATAAAAGTTTTACACTATTTTATTATATTTTAATAATGTATGTGATTAATGTAACCATTGTTTCATTGAAAACTATCAGGACTGACAACAGTTAAAAGACGAAGTAAAACGTATTTTAGTCTGGTGCAATAATTTACACAGCTCTAAAATGGACTTAGTGGCATCTTCATCTTATGCGACACGTGTGTGTGTGTGTGTGTGTGAGAGAGATTAATGTAAAAGAGATTAATGAGAGATTAATGTGTGTGTGTGTGTGTGTGTGTGTGTGTGTGTGTGTGTGTGTGTGTGTGTGTGAGAGAGAGAGAGAGAGAGAGAGAGAGAGAGAGAGAGAGATATTTACTCAATATATCAGGCTGTTTGTCAAAGACAGTGCTCTTATTTATATTATTCTTATTATTTAAAGAAGCACCCATATTCAATGCTAAAGCTGCTAGATATTTTGAGTTAAATATCTAATAATGTCTATGAACATTGCATTTTAGTATTTTTAGTTCAGTTTTTATGCTTTATTTGTTTATAAACGCGTCTTGCCACTAGATGGCAGTAGAGCATTCCATCTGTCTTTTAGTTAGCTTCTGCATCAAAGTTTGCCAAGCTCCTTAAAGCTTGCTTGCTTCCTTTCCATGAGAAGAAACATCCAGATAATTCTAACGAATAATCATGCAGTTCCAGATCAAACGCATTAAGTTTCTCACTCTCAGTGAGTTGATGATATAATGTCCTGAGAGACGCTCTAAGATGATCAGACAATTAGCTTGATGCTTTTTGTCTTGCTGATGGTGGTTTAGATCATTTCCTTTCCCGATGGAAATCAGGTTTCCCATGAGCACAGTGAGACAGTCCAGGCCCCTGATACTCCTCTGTTTTAAGGAAATGACAGCCTGGAGGTTCAGTGTCCAGCACTGCAGATGGATCAGCTGTGTTAGTTCTGTCGTCATTTGCTATAACTCCCCTCTTTCTCTGTCCTCCTTATGGGATCATAACAGTTGTTCCTCCAGCAGGAATTTCTGGAATTCTGTACTCATGCTGCTTATGTAACCGAGCCACTCCTCACCAAACATACAAATGGGGTGCTAGCGGAGGTTCTGAGGGTGACTAATAAAGTTGAACTGATGTCTTACATGTGTGGAATAGGAAATAAAACAGCTTCCAGATGGAGCCCTACGTCATCAGCTGTCCAAATGCTTGTGTCGCAATCTAGTGGTTTTGATTGGATTTTCCAGGGTTACATAATTAAAACTCATAGTTTGTCAAATATTTTAACATCCCCCCCTGGTTTTTCTTGTCTTTTAGGCTAACAGGGGTACTCTTTAATGGGAGGTCTCATGGTGCTGATTATCAGTGTTATTGAAGCATCCACAATTGAATAAGAATCCCCGTGTTGTAGGAATAAGGCATGCACATATCTGTGGCATAATTCTGACCTGTTAAGTTACAAATTTATATAAGATAACCACATGCATGCCTTTAGATAGATTTGTGTTATGTTCACTTCTTTCACCACCATGCTCAGGATTTATGATTCAAAGAAGGCTTTATTGGCATGATAAACACAGACAGTGTTCATTGAGGGATTCTCAAACCTGTATAGGAAGGAGAGCGGCTTCTACTTGTTCAGTGCAGTCCGACAAAACCATGCCAAGCTTTGATTTCTCAGTGTGTCGGCCAAAAATTGCAGCATTTCAAGGAACCCACAGAGCTGTTCATGCTGATTCTGTGCCCTTTCTTACTTGCTGTATGTTTTGATGAGAAGCTTTGGCCTGAACTTGCATCTCTACACCTTTATTGGGCTGCCTTGGATTGAATCCACAATTCTTTAGAAGTATTCTTCAATTCATAAGCCCCATATCAAATGTTTCTCAATCATAACATTTAAGTGCATTTTTGAGTAAGAATTGTTTCCAAGTTTTTTAGAAGGCACTTATCATTGTGCTGTAGGGGATCTATCCTTTTTTATTTTTTATTTTATTTTTATTTTTACAAATTATGGACTTATGTATACTGTGTTTGTGTTAGTAAAGTAGTTTAACTTTCATAATATATATGGAAAAAATACTTTTTTAAAAGTAATATAATCAACTATAATTATTTTATATAATGTATATAAAAATTATTTAATAATTAATTGTATTATATTATTAATCAATTATATTATATTAATAATTAATTATATTAATTAATATTAATAATATAAATATTAATGAATAGGGATGCACCGATATTACAATTTTGGCCGATACGATAACCGATAATTCTTTATATTTGAAAGCCGATAACCGATATATTGGCATTTTGCAGATAAATCTAAATCCAAATTTTTAGACAATTTTTGAGAGCCTGGTTATAAAAAAGTCTCCTCATTAAAAGCCAAGATATAAACACAATTATGATGTTCTTGTTTTAATGTTGTGTAGCCTATATGACAGACTTGTGCTGCACATTTTGCAATTTAACTGGATTTCGATCGTATTTCAAGCAATTTAAAAGCATCGTGTTGAACAGGGCGCATCTAAAGTGCCTCAGTTGAAGGAAATAATACATTATTTATCGGCTTTTAGATATCGGCTAAATTGTTGGGCCGATAACGATAACATTAAAAATGATCATATATCGGCCGATACCGATAATGTGGCTGATATATCGTAATATACGATATACGATATATCATGTATTCCTATTAATATATAATTCCACATAATACACTACTGTTCAAAAGTTTAGGGCCGGGAAGATTTACTTGATCAAAAATACAGTAATGGCAAAATTGTGAACTATTATTACAATTTAAAATAACTTTTCTATTTTAATATATTTTAAAATTAAATGCATTCCTTGATACTCCACCTTCAGTGTCACATGATCCTTCTAATTCTAATATGTTTGTGCTCAAGGAACATTATCAACAGTTGTGCTCAATAATTTTGAGACACTTTTTTCTTTGAAAATTCTTTGACTCATAAGCACAGCGTTTAAAATACATTGAAATATGAATCTTTATTGTCACTTTTGATCAATTAATATGATATTAATTATAAAAAAATCACATGATATTACTATACTAGCTTTGGCATAAGTGTTTGTCATCCTAAAAGATGTAAATTCAACAATATGCACTTTGCACACCAGGAGTAAAATGTGATATTAATTTCTTACAATATTGAAAACGGTCCCAGCTCTTTCTCTTTAGGGCCTGAAAACAGTGTGAAACTCCTGTCTTTGTGTATTGTATTTATTTGGATGTCTTTGTGGCTTTTCTCAGTCTGTATTTTGATGCTCTGCCCTTTATATTTTGTTCTCTTTGCTAGTGAATATGACACCAGCGTCTGGCCTTGGTTTGGCATGTACCTTGCCAGAATCAAACACCTTAGAAGGTCAGGACACATGTACCACAAAGAGGTGACTAGTGATTTAACAGCCTTTATAATTACATCTACAATTTACAATGAAGTCCAGTTATAAAAAGGTTATTCTGTTCTTATGTCATAACTTCATTTTTGCATTTTGAATATTTCAATGGAAGGAAATCCTCTCACAGAACACCCGAGATTAAAGACTAACACCAACTATGATGATATTTGTGTAGTGTGCTTATTAATTAGCCTTAAGTATTTTATGTTGTGTGCAGTTGGAAGCACTAACTTCATTAAATATACTTTATTGAATATTTTTGGATTTGAGCCAACAGTTTCAGAGGAACAGCAACAGAATAAAGATCAAGGATGTGAGAATCACTAGGGAATTGCCGAGGTGTCCAAACCAACAGCAATGTTTCCTGTGGTGTCAGGTAAAGCCCTCCATCTTGTTCTTTCTAGCTTTGCCAATCTTCCTTTAGTCAAGGACTGCGCTGCACTCAGTGATGTCTGTATTTTATTAGGTTGTCCTTTGGATTTTCTCCTGTGGTTTAAGTTGTTTTTTTCCTGGTCAAACAGTATTCGTTCCAAGATTTAAAATCTCCAGTGGTAGTTTCGTGAAAACAAAACAAAAATATTGTTTTAATGACATTTCCAAAAGGAAAAGCTAATTTGATATGGTGCCCTTAACTGATTATAGACATCCTCAACATTTGACTAGTTTGTTTTCCAAAGCAATGTACTTTCCTCTTGTTTAAAGTCCCACTGAAATGTGTTGACTGAATTTCCACTGAAACAGGAAGACGGGGCGGTGATATATCATCATGATTTTAAAATACAAAGCTTTTATTTTATTTGTAAGTGGCACAGTGTAATAATGAAGGAATAAATGATCACTTTATTCATTTAAAATAAGAATTATCTTCTTTCCCAATTGTCATACAGACACGTTTTAATTTGTCACATTTTAATTGTTTAACTGTTTTTAATTGTTAATTTAGTTAGTTAAAATCACCACGAAATCAAAATGTACAGTTTGTGTTATGTTTCAGCATTTAGCCTATAAACGATTTATCCGTCCAAATCATTATTATTATTTTTTTTTTAATTCTTTAACTGTAAAAAAAATTCATGATTTGTAATCACAACATTTTTTTCTTTTGTCAAATCAACTTAAATAATTTATGTAGTTCAGATAACATCACATTTTGAGTTTCTGATGCTTAAATCAATCTCCTTCATTGTATTAACTCAATCTTTCCAGTTCAATGAACGTAAAATTTTAAGGCAACCAGGTTACTTCATTTTTTAAGTTAAACCAACAATATTTTTTTATAGTGTAGATAAGAACAGACTGTCGCAACACTGCCGACTTGAAATGTAATAAAATAATTTTTGAATTCCTAAAATTATTAATTATACATAAGTGGCACTCTAGTCCTCCATTTAGCATTTGCTTAGTGCTTAAGGAAATGGGTTATCCACACAGCTATATTAATGCTGATTTTGTAAACACTGGCTTGAATGTTCACTTTCCGGCTTGTGAGAATACACATTTGCAGCAATTTGATTTACCACAAGCATACACCCACACTCCTAACCTGTGCTACATTTGAAAGCTGAGACTGAATGTATAATTCAGCTTCTTAAACTTGTTTATTTATGAGAGAATACTCATAGGGCTCATTGTCTATAATTGGTCAATTTATTTACCAGACCTTTATTTTATTTTACAGACCTTTCGCTGGCAGGGAAATAAAAAAATAAAATAAAAAATCATGTATAAAAGAAATGGAGAACATCTACCTGAAATAACCCTTTTAGAGCACGAAGCTGAATCCAATTACAAATGGATCTTTTGTGCATAAAAGTTGAAAACAAGCACTTTGAGGCAGTTTAGCTCCGAGAATTAGTGATTTCATGTTTTGTAATGCCCCATAAGTGCACTTTCCCCTAAATATCTTTAAGATTAGAACAACTTTGCCAATGATCCTGTTTGCACATACAGACAGTGTATTTATTATGTCCTGCGGCTGATTGTGCTGTGTTCATTCTGACAGAGGATTTCATGCATCATAAATTAAGGACAAGACGAGGACGCCATCGTGAGGAGGTGCTGTCAGACACAGAGAAGACGGAGCTGATGTCAATATAAACAGTGAGTGCTCTGTTTAACAAGTGCTTCTTTCTCCTGTATGACAATTTTGCTGTAGGGTAAGTTAACTCAAAGTGTAAATCTGAACCATTTAAATGGGTTCTCTAGCCCACATCTTCTCAGTGTCCCTGCTTAGACATTTGGACTCACACCTGTGTCTTTATCAAAATTCAAGGGGCGTTTCATTGACTGCGCCTGAAAGCTGAGAAATGCTGCTTTCTCATATGGAGGTAGAAAGGAAAGCGTTACATCCTGTCTACTAAGATGTCTTCATGGAGTTGCTTTCTCAAGGCAGTGTAAAAAGACATAACGCATGATATTCCTGTTCCTCGTAACAGATTCCTGGTCGATAACGGATATTTAATTTCCCCAATATTTCATTTAAGATTATTATTTTCTTCATTTAACATACATTTAAATTGCATTTTTAAAAACACTGATGTAATAACTGCTAAATGTAATCTTTTGCAAATCAATCAATCAATCAATCAATATAATGTGCCTGAAAGCACATTTTAAAGGGATACTCCACTTTTTTTGGAAATAGGCTCATTTTACCACACCCCCAGAGTTAAACAGCTGGGTTTTACCGTTTTCGAATCAATTCAGCCGATTTTATGATATTTAGAAGAATATCAGTAACTAGACAGTTTCTGGTCTCATTGACTTCCATAGTAGGAAAAAAATATACTATGGAAGTCAATGAGACCAGAAACTGTCTGGTTACTGATATTCTTCTAAATATCATAAAATCGGCTGAATGGATTCGAAAACGGTAAAACTCAACGGTTTAACTCTGGGGGAGTGGTAAAATTAGCCTATTCCCCCCCCAAAAAAGTGTAGTATCCCTTTAAGCTGTTCGACAAAAAAAGAAAAGAAAAAAAAAAAAAATATATATATATATATATATATATCCTCGGGTGGGGCCTTCTCTATTTTAAACCCCTTTTGTAAATTAAATGTAGTGGTAAAAGTAAATTTAGTGATTCAGTATGAATACTACATTTATTTTACAAAATGGGTTTAAAATAAAGGAGGCCCCACCCAAGGAGATATATAGATACTTTTTTTTTTTTGCCTAACAGCTTGAAATGTGCTTTTTTTGGTCACTTAATAAAATTGAAAGAAGAATGAACGAAGAATGAAGAATGACGAAACATATACAGCAAGACAATATAAATATCATTTCACTCACCTAACTTATCACTTCGCCTTATTCACATGGCGGCCATTTTGAAAAGGCCGTTAAGGAGTACACAAACCCGGAAGTTTGACTCCGAAGCAGCACCAGCAATGGAAACTCCAGTGTGGACAAATCTTTCCTGTCTGCCCGAATTAACGATGCAAAATGTGAAGCAGTGAGCCAGTACTGACTGCAACATCCCTCGGGCTGTGTTAATTAAGGGATACAGTCACTGGATCGAATGTTTTATCCATGACATTGATGGTATGAATGGATGCCAATTTACCTCAGTTTCTGCTAGCTTGTAGCAGCTAGGGGTAGTAAGCTTAGCTGTGATATGGAGTTGTTGACTGTGTATTATGTTAGATTAGAATCTATACAAATCCTAAACCATCATTATTGTTCTTCTTTATCAATCTAAATCCTTAACCATCATTATTGTTCACCTTTATGAATCTAAACAAATCCTTAACCATCATTACTGTGAGCAATCAATAACATCAATATCTTTTATCAATACTGACTCAATAGCTCTACTCTCCATATGTAGTTGGTACATCAGTGCTAGCGTTTTTTTCTTTTTACGTCTCTCCCATGATTGGTTTATATAACAAGGGAGGCTAGCCTCCACTGCCATGTTTCTTTTCTCAACGAGATGATTGAGTAATTTTCTTTTTCAACGGTTAAAGGCGTCCATCTAGCACATTTACATTGAAAAACTATGGAAAAGTAGTGCAGTGGAATGGAAAAAAACTGTTCTTTGTGCTTCAAAGTTGTTGACCAATCACAACACACTGGTCCAGCTGACCAATCAGAGCACATTGCGCTTTTCGGAAGGAGGGGCTTTATAGAGACAGGAAACTAAACGCAAGCGTTACTGGCAAAATCAAGACTTTGTAAAATGGCCTCTTTAATTTTTTTAATTTTTTATTAATACACTGTAAAAAAATATTTTCAAGATTTGTTATCACAACATTTTTTTCTTTTGTCAAATCAACTTAAATAATTTATTTAGTTCATATAACTTATTATTTTGAGTTTCTGATGATTAAATCAATCTACTTCATTGTATTAACTCACTTTTTCCAGTTCAATCAACTTAAAATTTAAAGGCAACCAGGTTACTTATATTTTTTAAGTTAAACCAACATTATTTATTTCTTTATAAAAATAATTAGCAGCTTATCCTACCAGAATTTTAATATCCCTGCATCTCTACTTTAAAAATGTTGTAATGGTGTTTGTTTGGAAGCGGTTTTGCGGGAGGAACTTTCAGACACAAACACTGTCTGTGTAGTCATTGACAGACTGGGCAGCGAGGCAGCTGGCTTCATTCTTGGACACAGCCAATATACCAACTAAATATCCTCTTAATTGGCTAGTTGTGAATCAAAACATTTCCATCTCTTCTGAAAGTTTTACCATGGTAATATTCAGTAAGATCCACAAAGCAACTGTTTTGTTTCGTTAAAGAGTTTAGTATCATGGGGTTCTGGCAACTAAATCAAAGCTCTGCCAATTAAAGCTTGGCATCTTTGACTTCTCCCTGCAGCTGTGAGCATGTCCTGTCTGTGTATTAAAGGTCACTCTGCAGTGGGCCAGCTGGCCGGTGAAAACAGTCTTTGTAGTGAGTGTTGGAGACAGTGGGGCCTCAGAGGCCGAAGCACTACCTGCACCTCTGTGTTCGAGTGGAGGCGTGTCATTACACACAGATGGCTGCTGCTTCCTCTGCTGAGCTAAACAGCTCTGTGTTTCACTGCCTATTTGTCTCTATCTACCTTTCTTCCTCTTTCTCTCCATCTCGTTTTCACTCTCTTTCTCTCTACTAAACAAAAACACTTTGGGATATCATTGCAGGTGCCTAAAAATCGCAAATAGTCCTTGTTGCATCACAAACAGTGCAGATTTATTAATGCTACTTTTAGTCCAAATACATTTTTTCGACGCATTCAACGCATTTTTTGGCCGATCGGACCACAAGTTGACGAAACTAAATGCAGGTGTAAACAGGGTCTAAAACGTTTTGAGCTTGTCCACTTTCAACCACTTCCATAGCAGACTGATCTCATGAAGTAGCTTGTGTATGACACGCCAATTCGTATTTCCATTTTTGGCGTGCTATCAAGACGCATAATCGCTTTTCAGCGCGTTTATGAACGCCGTTGAATTAACGTTATTACTGTATATGTAAATATATGACTTACCTCAACCCCGTCCCTAAACCTAACCGTCACTGGGGTTAATGGCATTTATGACTGTTCCTTTACCATCCTAGGAAAAAAGATGTAGATCTACATTTTGATTTGTTTCGCCCGGACATTTGATGGCGTGTACATACACGTAGAATCACTCGGACGTTAATTGCGTAGACATACACGCATACACCCGGATACACGCGGATAGCTCAAAATGCATAGAGATAACACGCCACTTGACTCGAAAGTGGCGTGTATGTTTACGCAAAAGTCATGATGTCATGTTGTCCATAGGTAGTCGAAAACAAATTTGACCGGACTGCTTTCGTAGTGTAAACCCTCATGTGGGCGAATGTGTTGTTCGAACATTCACAAAGCTTATTCTCTGCCACCTAATGTGTAAACATTATGGGAAGCCAGGCGTAAACTTTGTTGGCTGAAGAGACGAGTTTGTTTTAAAGAAGCAAGGCACAATGTTCTCTCACCATTCCTGATTTCTAACATATACGCTCACAGTTTTGAGCAGAAACGAAAGCTGATGATCTCTGTGTGTTTTTTAGTCGTCTCCGGACGGGTTCGTATGTAAAATGTGTGAGCTTATTTCGTCCATTAAATCGAAAGATCTGAAAAATCCCATATTTACCCTCCCATAGACCCTCTCCTCAAAGAAATCAAGGCTGAAGTGGTTGGAAGTGGACAAAAGAGATGGATTAAAAGACCAGGTGTAAACGTGTATGCGTCTCCCTCGTCTACTTGTAATCCGATCGACCGAAAACACATTTTAAAGTCCCCGTGAACTGGAAGTCGCAAACGATTTTTCTCCAGTGCTGTGACGTATTTCCAAGTGAAACGGAATATTGAACAGAGGGCAGGGTTTTACTCTAGCGCTCCTCCTCTCCATCTCTCGCTCATAGTAAACTAACGGTTTGAGGGGAGTGGTTAAGCGTTTCCCCACCCAAACTGTGAAACCTACGTCATCAGAAAAAGAAACCGTTCCAGACCGGAAGTAACTTTTCAGATTTTGATTAAAGATTACTAAAGTAAAACATTTTTTTAATATATTTTTACTTGCACGGATTAATTGTTCACCACAAGACTAGTAATATGCGCTAACAAAGTAAATAGGTTCGATTTTGATTTCACGGGGACTTTAATACCAGGTGTAAGAAGGCCCAAATTGATAGTCCTTCCCCCAAACTCACACCATTGGTTAAACCAATGCTGTTGGGCTGTTCACACTTTTTATGTTGTATTCTGAGAAGGGTTCCAATACTTTAAATGATTTGTTTGCAAATTAGATTAATCGTTTAAGTCATAAACTCAACAAAAGAAAAAAGGTTTCAAAAGGGTTTTTTCCTGGGTATTTCTTTGTTTGAAAATGGATTATTTTGCAGGCTTGATGGAGCTGATTTTAATGAAGTGTTTTGGGCTGTTCAATGTCAATACAAAAAACAGTGTTGCCTTTCCAACATAGCTTCTGTGTTCCATTTCTCATCTGTTTGTACATTTCTAGTATCTTTTTGCTCTTGTGTTCTTAAATGGCCTGATTTTACGAGTTACAAGTCTTGTCTTGTGTTCTGAGGGGTATTAGATCATTGTGTTGTAAGTCATTTATGGGCTTGCTGTGGCTTGGCTGTACACAGATAAAGAAGGTGATTACAATGTGTGAGGAACGCTAGATGAAGCCCTGTCAACTACAGGGCAAATATTTGTCTCAAAGTTCATGATTGCTGTGAAATTAACACATTGCACCTGAGTCCGTGCTACAACTTTGCACAGCAAACAAAGCAGGACTTCTTGTTTCTTCAAAGACTCAAGGGACGGTCACACTATATACTTTAAGCATGTTAAATTAGTTTGGAAACTGCAGTAAATGAGATCTGACGCACTTTGTGGTGCCTTTAAAAAAATGTCCAACACAACAATAAAAATAATAATTGCAAAATGTAAAACTATACAGTCTGTTTCACTTTTCTGCAATGCTGCAAAGTTTGCTCACACTGTGATTTATTGATCTTCTATTAGCCTCACGTTTTCATGTGATGCGTATTCATTCATAGGTCAGAGTTCACCAAACTTTGCTATGCTGCGAATTGTTTCTGATCTCTTGCATTTGCATGAATGTGAATGGGAGACAGTGGACAGTAGGAACCCAATATGCAAAGAGTCTTTCAGGATGAAGAATGATATTTCTTTATTTTATCAGATTTTTCATACATTTCTGACAGTGTTGACAAAAAGGAGGGAAATACTCTGAGATACTCTGCCTCAGTTGGCTTGCAATTACATTTTGGCCCTTGTCAAAGTCGCTCACATGAACTGATTGTTTGCGTACCAAAAAAAAAAAAAAAGTTCTTTCTTTTTTATTATTGTACTTTAATCTCTGTGAAGTATTGATTTATGGTCTGACGACACGTTTGTTTAGGGATAATGGGTGATAATGCAACCATTTTGATAAAATAAAGGAAAATCAAATTAAATGTGCATCTGTTGAAATGAGGCTATTTCTAAAGCTAATGGAACATAAAATTGTGGGACATCTTTTGCCCATTTTCTTAAGATTAAAAATGCCAAAGAGAACATTAAATATGAAAAGCATAAGTGTTTATGAAGTGTAAAGGCATCTTAAGAGCAGCCTCGAGTCCGACAACTGTTCATTTACATGTTTGCCATCAAGTCTCTGCGGAGGTTTCCATGGTAATCTAATGGCCATTCCATCTCTAAAAAAATCACCTGACCGAGAGAGAGAGAGAGAGCGGCGTGCAGAACAAACATTCATTCATCATGTCATCAAATCCAGTCCTCTTACTGGCCATTTTTGCATGGGGAAAATACTTTTTTATGTATATATATAAACAATGGTGAAATTAGTTAACTTACAGAAATCATTTACTTGCAATATATCACAGAACATAACTTGTGACTTTGAAATGATTATTATTGACCAGTTGAATTCTGTGAAATGCATTAATTACTTCTGTGAGTGACAGGAGGGACAATGTATCTGCTGGGATCTGTGTTTAAATCTGTTGATGCCCATCCTCATCTGCAAACTCTACACAATGAAAGACAAGGTATTTGCTTTTAATGAATTAATAATAAATTATAAATGAATAATTTCAAAATGTTAAAATGTATTATCTACTATACATACTGTGATGCAGCTTTGAAGTTTGTATGGTTTGTAGATATCGTCAGATCACATTTTTTTTACAGGTCAGAGTTCACAGAGTTCAAATAGTCTGGTCCTAATTGCAGCTCATCATTGAAACCCTTGTTCAGATCAAATCCGTGCATATCCATTTGGAATCGGATCATATTTAGCGAGTGTGAACAGCAAAGAAAATCAAATATTTACAAATTTGTTTAAAGCTATGTGGTTTGAAATCATATTAATGAAAGTCAATTTCAGTCTGTCTGCTCTGCTTGGATTTTACATAGTTTTTTTTTGTCACTTTCTCATGCCACTTAAAACATAAACACGTCAGACATTATTTCAGAAAGAAGGTTGTGTTTTGTTGTTGTCGATGTGCAGGTCACGCATATAATTAATAGAATTTAGACCTCTCCGTGGTCCAGTGATGAGTTGAATACACACAAGTCCACCAGTGTCTGATAGTTGGCCTGGTCCACACACACCCCTTTGAATTTTGAGGCCGACGGAGATGGCAGCACAAAATAAAGTAGTAGGCCGCTACACATTGTCATATTGTTAGACAACATTGCAAATGTTGTTTTTGCCGTATGCATACCGAACGCAACATTATCGCAATATCACACTTAGAAAACAAAGGTTAAATGGGTTTATATACAGTAGAACCCTAGTGTTCTTGACTAAAATGTCTTAAATGATTGCATACTTTCATGTTTGACAAGTTATTTCAGGATTTTTTTTTCTGTATGTATTTATAGTATGTTTACGAGCTGTTTAATTCATAAAAATAAATGTAAAAATAAATTCAAACTATTCAAAAAAATAATTTAAAAATGTAATTAAAACTAAATCAATTCATAAAATGTTCCCATTATGGGAATCAACACTAAACGGTTCTTTATAGAACCTTTTCTTCTAGAAAACCTTTTCTTCTTCCTTTTCTTTTCTTTAGATCAGATTCCGATCGGATTTGGACTGACAGTGTGAATGCAGAGGAAAGTCACCATCTAACCTGCTTGGAAGAGGTGTTTATTACTTTAAGTAGGCTAAACTTCAATATTTAGCTCTTTCCCCGCCATTCACAATCCATTTCCCCCACTGTTATGTTTTAGGGGGCGCTATTACAAATCTACTGACAGAGTACTGAATCTCGGGATCAAAAACACAGGCGAAGAAATAGCAGAAAGAAGTGATAGAAGCATTCTGCACATTTAAGCTAACGCGATCAACAAACATTAAACAGCATATAAATCAAAACTGCCTAACGTTACCCAATGAAATGACGACCTGGGACAAGGTGCATAATTTTTAATCTTTCGGGGTGTTGATGGATGCAATCTATTCGATCAATGTTCCGAACGGGTGTTGTAGGCTAGTCTGTGACCAAAAACACAGTTTCCTCAGCTTTTTGTTCAAAAGTTTTGTTTATAGAAAAAAAGAATGTCTGAAGCTAGAATAAATTGATTATTTAGCAAAAAAGCAGAGTTTCTGTTCTTTTGATATATTGTGTTCAGATATTCATACTACAAAATATTCCTTGAATATTCCTTCCACAATAAACCTTGAAGTTTTTGTGAAAATTATAAAAATTGCTAGTGATGGATTAAAAAAAAATAATAATAAAAAAAGGTTTGTATTTAACATGCAGTGGAAAGCAAATGCAAAGCCATTAAATATGAGCTATACCCAAGATGAAGAATCACATCCCAGAGAATGTATTTGGTTCACCAACATCCTCAATGTTGATCCTCAAGCCTCCTCTGCTAAAAGAAATTGGTATTATATAGCAGGGATATATTCAGGCCTGTTTTTTTTTTTCAGGTCCAGTTGGTGACGTGCAATGTGAAATACAGTCAGTCTGGTGTGTGAAAAGCAATGGCACCGGTGCTCCATAATTAAGCCTCAGCAGAGCCTCCCAGCAGGGGTCTGGAATGTGCGGTACAGCGTGTCCTCGGTGCTGGGAGAACGTGTGGCGGCCGGATAGATGTGCGTCTTTGCTCCTTCTTGAGCCTCAAGTGAGTTGTGCTCATTGACAGCTGTTGCTTTGATGACAGGCGTGGCTGCTCGCTACAGAGACATCCAAGAACGTCTCAAAGCCCTCTGCAGACACAGATGTAGCTAGGTCATGGACTATTATATTGATTAAATGCCACGGATAGTACAAGCAAGGATAAGACAGCCTAGAACATAATGAAATCATGTGATTTGATATACATAATTTTTGGGGGTGCGTAAAATATTAGTTATCGGGTGATATTACTGATCTTTTATATCAGTGTCACCCATTTTTGATTGTGCATGGTCACATCCCCTATTTTTATTTGATTAGATGCAATATAATCAGATGACTAATTTTAGTTTTTAACTATTGTGATGAAATAAATGAAAATAATTACCCTCTTTTTGTTTAGATCATAGTTTTAATATTTGTGCATCACCTATTATTTATAATACAATAAATATAGTTTGTATTAATTGAAATCATTTTATTTATGACAAAATAAATTATTTGGGTTATCGGCCAAAACTTAAAAATAAATATCCTCTAATTGGTTTGGTCATAATTTTAATATTGGTGCATAACCAAGATTTTGTTTTATACTGACCATTGATTTTAGTTGTTATTGTATTATTCTTAATTTATTTTGACAAAATAAAGACATTTAAGAACTGCAATTTATCAGTTAAACATGAAAATGATTATTCTCTTATTGTTTCAGTCATGGTTTTAATATTGATGCATCACTAAGAAAATCTGGGTTCAACCAAGGGTTGTGAGGCAGAGTAACATTATCACAGCCAGAGTTCTAGAAGTTCATACAATAATTCGGTTCCATTAAGACCTGCCTTAATGGACACACAAAGAAAGTGGCCCCATGAAATGTCAATTACAGGCCACACTTTCCTCTCCTCTATTTTCCGGTGACCATGGCTCTAATCGTTACGGACAGAAAGAATCCTCTGTAGTTAGTGTTGTGTGAGGCACCTTCTTCTCCTTCAGCAGTCCACACTGCTGACCAAGACTGACAGCTAGCTAATAAAGGAAGAGCTTTGATTCATACTGGTCCTGGCTGGGCTGGTTTGCATTTGAAGTTAACGGTGGGGCTGAGCGATTTAGTTCTATTGCAGCGTTTTGTCTCTATCCGTGAGACTTTGGAGGTCACTCAGGTCTGTTCAGTCTGTTTGTACAATAGTTAGTCTTGTTTGACACTCCAAGAGAACTGACAATATTGGTTACACTTTATAGTAAGGTCTCATTTGTTGAGTTAATGAGTTAATGCATTAACTTTACAATGAGCAATATATTTTTACAGCATGTATTAACCTTTGTTACTTAAAGGTAACAAAGTGATTTCTGAGAAGCACTGATGATATTTGAAATCAGCATCCAAATAAACACACAGCTCCCTTCATAGCTTGGGCAAGTATGGACGAATCAGCTTTAATTCAACAACAGCATATCTTGGTTCTTCAATGTTACTCATGAAATCGGGAAACAAAGCAACCTCAATGTCTGTTTTCAGGCCTTCTCACTTAGTTCTCTCCAGCGCTGGAAAGCTTTTCCAATATTTTCTCAGAGTGCATTAACTAATTTTAACTAAACAGATACAATTTTTGATGAGATTAACAATAATAAAGATTAATATACACTCACCTAAAGGATTATTAGGAACGCCATACTAATACTGTGTTTGACCCCCTTTCGCCTTCAGAACTGCCTTAATTCTACGTGGCATTGATTCAACAAGGTGCTGAAAGCATTCTTTAGAAATGTTGGCCCATATTGATTGGATAGCATCTTGCAGTTGATGGAGATTTGTGGGATGCACATCCAGGGCACGAAGCTCCCGTTCCATCACATCCCAAAGATGCTCTATTGGGTTGAGATCTGGTGACTGTGGGGGCCATTTTAGTACAGTGAACTCATTGTCATGTGCAAGAAACCAATTTGAAATGATTCAAACTTTGTGACATGGTGGCCCTAAATGGATGGACATGGTCAGAAACGATGCTCAGGTAGGCCGTGTCATTTAAACGATGCCCAATTGGCACTAAGGGGACTAAAGTGTGCCAAGAAAACATCCCCCACACCATTACACCACCACCAGCAGCCTGCACAGTGGTAAAAAGGCATGATGGATCCATGTTCTCATTCTGTTTGCGCCAATTTCTGACTCTACCATCTGAATGTTTCAAAAGAAATCAAGACTCATCAGACCAGGCAACATTTTTCCAGTCTTCAACTGTCCAATTTTTGGTGAGCTCTTGCAAATTGTAGCCTCTTATTCCTATTTGTAGTGGAGATGAGTGGTACCCAATGGGGTCTTCTGCTGTTGTAGCCCATCCGCCTCAAGGTTGTGTGTGTTGTGGCTTCACAAATGCTTTGCTGCATACCTCGGTTGTAACGAGTGGTTATTTCAGTCAAAGTTGCTCTTCTACCAGCTTGAATCAGTCGACCCATTCTCCTCTGACCTCTAGCATCAACAAGGCATTTTCGCCCACAGGACTGCCGCATACTGGATGTTTTTCCCTTTTCACACCATTCTTTGTAAACCCTAGAAATGGTTGTGCGTGAAAATCCTAGTAACTGAGCAGATTGTGAAATACTCAGACCGGCCCGTCTGGCACCAACAACAATGCCACGCTCAAAATTGCTTAAATCACCTTTATTTCCCATTCTGACATTCAGTTTGGAGTTCAGGAGATTGTCTTGACCAGGACCACACCCCTAAATGCATTGAAGCAACCTGCCATGTGATTGGTTGATTAGATAAGTGCATTAATGAGAAATTGAACAGGTGTTTCTAATAATCCTTTACGTGAGTGTAAGTTATAGAAGTATTTTTAATTGTTCGTCCATGTTAACTAATGTCGACACATTCAACTTTATTCTAACCATAATATCATATGATCATATTATACACTGCCTGGCCCCCAAAAAGTTGCTGTTTGAAATAGGCAAATGCTTAAGAGTCTATGATTGGATCATTACTGCAGTGATTATTACGTTTCTAGCATATGTTTGGCAATAGTTCTTTTAATCCTAATTGGTGAACTGTGTAGCTTTTCATTTCTTAAAAAACCATGTTTATATTTAATAATAATAATTAATTTGTTCATTTTTTTTTTAATAACCCTGAAGTGACAAGTTGGTTTTTGGAAGTTGATTCATCTGTTGTTTTTCTTTCCTTTCTCCCTGAGGCAGTCTTTGACATACAGTTAGAAGGACTGTTTGTGTGCCAATTAGAACTGGGTTGTACAGCCAAAAAAAAAATCATGTCCATATCATATTTCCACATATTTGTAAGACTTTGAGAGTGAATGTAAACGTAAACATGTTTTTTCACAATTTAATTTAGGGCCCCATGGAATCTAAATTCTGTGTTTACCATTTAATTTATTTACAGTCATTCACGCTATATAGAGCTCGGCTAACGTATGCACTGTTATTGATACAGTTTCCACTTGTTCGCCGCATTAAATTAGAGAAATACTCAGTAAATAAATAAGTACAAGTAAAATAATCAGTTTATTGATGGACATGCACTTAAAGCTGATGGGGAGGAATTACAGTTGTAACATCTCATAATGTACCTCAAACTGAGTTGTGTATCACTGAGAAACGTCCTGCTTGAGTCGTCCTTGCGAGGGAGGTCCGGGTTGAATAACTAGTTCTTTCAATGTTTCATCATCGCACTCGCATTTATACAATATGGTCAAATCGACGTCATTGTTCATTACTGTCTTTAGTTTATGGTGTAGGAAGCCTCAGGACAAGCAGAGCTGACGTTATGATGATAATAATGGGTGTTTTTTTGTTTTTGACACTCTACGCTATAAACCAATCACAACAGACTGAGCTGTCTGGCCAATCAGAGCAGAATAGCTTGTGGAAAGGAGGAATTTAGAGAGATTGATTCATCTGACGAGTTGTTTGAGAAATCATTGAAATTGTGGTGATTTGCAAATGTATATTATGAGAAAATTAAACAGTTTTTTTTACCTTTGATGCATGTAAACATGTTGCAGGAGTCTCCAAAACAACTTTAAAATGGCATAATAGGGGCACTTTAGTACAAATTTATATAAACTTTAACAATTTAATCAAGCTTTAAAAATGTAATCAATTGAAAATATAACAATTCGTTTACAACAAAACATTGCATTTTTACTTTTTGTCAAGTAAGATGCTGCACAACAGAACTATAAAACATGGATGAAGAAATATCTTGGTTACATGATTACAAGTTCTTGAAGCAAAAAACAAACTTTTATTTTGAAAGTTTGTCTTGAAGATTTTAGTTTCAGTTTCAGTGTGTATTCGTCGGTAGTTTTTCCTCAAATAAAACGATGAAAAGCTTGTGAAGTGACTCTCAAAGCATCTCTGGAGATCAAGTTCATGTCTCATTTTGAGACGGCAATGCTGAAAACACTGTGAGTGTGTGTGTGTGTGTGTGTGTGTGTGAGACGAAACCACGCCATTCATTCACACAGAGACACAAACATCGCTTATTATCGACACACTTACTGACTGTTGTCGTATTTATTTCGGCTGTGTGATAGGTTCTTCGATTATTCCATATTGAGTAAAAATGTCCCAAGCTATCATCGTTATCAATGTAAATTGCATCGAAATCTCTATATTGTTTATCGCGCAACCCTAGTGCCAATATATTAGCTACACTGCAAAGCTGATTGGGAAAAATGATTATTATGTATTAGTTTAATGACTTTGTTGCACAATTTCCTTTAAAAAAAATCCAAATATGAATCTTTAAAATCATATGAAATTATAACGCATATCACTGACTTCATAGACTACTGCTTTTTGTTAGCATACTTTATTTATTTAGTAAGTTAATTAGTTTGGTTAACATGTTCTTTTTCCACCCATATCTACAAGATTATTTTGTGGTTTAACCTTGCTGAAAGGGTTCAGCTAATTGATTTATTGCCATTGCATAAGTTCTGCGATTCATCATGACAACATATCAGTCAGGTTTGTTGAAGTAGT